GCTATCGGATATCAAAAATGACAGGTTATCGGATATTACTTATGGAACCGACATGGTGGATCAAATTTTAATCATTTTGGCCGGTTATCGGTTTTGACAGGATCAGTTTCGGGAGGGCCGACAGTATATCATGTAATTCCTGCAGGCGCTTGAAAACCCGATGTGAAGACGAGGCACATTTTGATCAATCTGTTAAATGCAGTGGATGCATAAAACGTAATGTTGTATGCACTTATCCTGATAGCACAAAAAAGCGTGGACGCAAACCTAAGAAAGAACCTCCTACTACACCTCCTATACTTTCTATACCTACGCCTTCTACACCTCCTACGCCTTCTACACCTCCTACGCCTTCTACACCTCCTACACCTTCTACACCACGTACACCTTCTACACCACCTACACCTCCTACACCTCCTACGCCTTCTACACCTCCTACACCTTCTACACCACGTACACCTTCTACACCACCTACACCTCCTACACCTTCTACACCTCCTACACCTTCTACACCTCCTATGCCTTCTACATTCGCCACGCGTCCTTCCGATGATGACTATGGGTTGCTTTGTGATCCATCACATAAAGAAACAAGACCCGCTTCTAATAATTATACGTTTTTTCGTGATTTATTTCCGAAGGAAATAAAGCACTTCGTTAATGATCATGATCGGTATGAGTTGCTTCTTGATCTATCTGAGGAGGAATTAAAGTTCGTGGCTAATGCTCGTAATCCCACCTTGTTATTCCCATGTCCATATGAAAATATTGCGGGGCATTATTGTCATAAAGGATGTGTTGTGAGATACAAATATAATTATTAAATGACGAAATTTATTGCCATTTATCGCGAGTAACATCGTATTAATATTTCACAATATTATCGATTTTGACAGAATCTAGTGACAAGACTGACGAAAGTTTTTCCATTTATCGCTTTTGTTAACTTCGTATAAAGATTCCAAAAATCTTCGACTCTGAAGGAATCTAGTGACATGACTATATATACTAAGTGACGAAATTTGTTGTCATTTATCGCTTTTTAAGTAATGTCGTATTAAACTTTCATAATATCTTCGATTTTGGCAGAATCAAGTGACTAAACTATACTAAGTGACGAAATTTATCGCTTTTTGAGTATTATCGTATTAATATTTCATAATTTCTTCGATTTTGGAAGAATTTAGTAATAAGGATATAGATTTAATTTAAATAAATAGTTTAAAAAAAACCAATCCTCGTTTACGTTACAATATAAAAGATATTATTTCGATTAGAATGAATTCAGGGTCTCATAATAGTGGTCTCAGTGGATTTCATTAATTTTTCCACATTACTTATAAATAATAAATGCGTAAAGTATGAATAGAAAACAAACATAAATGTGGAAAATTAATTATAAGTTAAGGACATAAAATTCATGTATTTAGAACATATACAAATTCTAGATTTTATTTAAGCAAATTCCAAAATATTATGATTAAAGGCGTAATTTATATTAGAAAACTTTTATTTTTACATGTTTTTAACGTGATTTACAGTTTTATAAATGAAAAATATCTTATGGACTCTGTACAGTTATATCGTTGGTTTATATAAAGTGTCACACATATAATATTGGACATACATATCAATATTGGCAATAAAATATATTTAAAATTCATGCTTTATTATAAATTATAATAAAAAAAAAAATAAGACTTAATTATGCATCGCACCGTGAGTGCGCTTATATATTGCACCCTAATGATCCACCAATTAAATTGTATATTTGCAGTATAATGTCAAAAGCAAGTGTAACATTAAATTTGTGTTTTTTTTAAAGAAATTGATAGCATCTCAAAATTTTGCTTACGAAACAGCTTTTAATATTCTAATAAAAAAAAAAAATCCCTTACGAAATACCAGAAACGTAGCTATGCTTGAATAACGGAATGTATGGTTAATTGCCATCTAGAAAGGTGTATACAAAGTCTTGCATTCGATTGGATAGCGTGATCATAATGATCATATGTTATACGTACGTATGTATGTGCCGTTATCCCGAATAAGGCATACATATCCGGATTTCAACTCTATGAGAAATAGTGCAAATAGACAAGTTACTGAAAAATAAAAATTTTTGAAGTGCACTTTTTTAGAGGTAGGTTTTATAATGAACAAGTATATGTGGTTTTGAGAGGGACTCCTCATTTCATTTTAATCCGATTTCATTATGATCCGCGAAAGCAAATATTGTCCACTTATGATGTTTTATGTTTAACTAGTATGATATTAATCTGAAAAAGCAAAGAAACACTGCAATATCACAATATTGACGGTTATTAAAAATATCTACGTACTATTAAAAATTAACTATACTATAATATATAATCAATTTAATTTAACTAGTATTACTAGAATTACCACTAAAAATAAGCTTTAATTCAAAGTTTCTAAGAATATTCTCTATTGGCACACTTAGTGCTTCACGAGAATTACCAGCTACGAGAATGCCATTTAGGCTTACATGTTGCAAATCCTGTTTATAAGAAAATGTGGGCCCTCCACTGTCACCATCACTATTTGATGCGGTTGAATAGGTTAATGGATATTCGATATTTCCTTTCTCGTCTATAAAAAATCCATTGAGCCCAATTATTTTTCCACAAGTAACATGTTTCGTGTGGCCAGACATACATATATGAGCACCATAGCTGGATGCAGCTATGTCATCTTCAACAATCAACTCTTTATTATATTTAGAATCAGTGTTTCTTATAATCACTGTGTCATTGAAAATTTCATTATATACAGAGATTAAACCAACGTCGAGCGGTGCTTCACTTGCCACTTCCATTATCCCAATTATGGTTTTTGTTTTTTTCTTATCCCATGGATGATAGTAAAACGCGGTATCTGCATCACAATGTCCTGCAGTTACAGCATAAATGGATGTTAAGTCTTTTGATTTTGCCCAAAAACCCAATGAACATATCGCATTTTTGCTATTTATTCCATCTCCAGCCATGATTCGAGGATTTATAGTTCGAGAATTTATAGTTTTTATCTCCATACTATTTGTTTCAGCAAAAGGAGGTTGAGTACTACGTTTACCAGATAAAAGCAAAATAAGGTGTACAATTGTCTTGAATTGATTAATTTGTCTGACAGTAGTGAGAAACTCTCTATTATCTTCATTTTTTCTTACTCTTAAAAAAACGCGATTAGTTTTTATAGAAATGTAACAAATAACTTCCAAGGGTCTAGTTCTGTTAGCTATATTTAATATTTGTTCAAAAGTTACTTTTAATGTTGTTATAGAATTTTTTACTGTTTCATAAACGAATAAATGTTTATATTGTGAGAAAAAAGAATTTAAAGTACGCTTAACCACATTATTTTTATCTTTCAATACGTTAATACGTATTTTATTTTTTGGTACGTCTAGTAAAGTTCCTCCTACACTTGTGTTATATTGGTTTAGTAATCCCTCTATGAGTCCATCTACCATTATTAAGTTCTTTTCGTAACCCAATAGCTTAGGTAACTTTCTATATCTTACGTTCCATAATTTTGCTAACGGTTCTTTGTAAGCATAACCTGTCACTATTAGAACATTTGGTAAAATAGAAATAATTAATAACAAACTGACTAAAAAGTCAACTTTCATGGTTATAATAATTTATAATATATGATAGTAATGGTAAAATAAAGAAAAAGAATAGATCGTGCAATTAACTAAAGTTCATATTCTAATATTAAATATATTTTTTTTTATTAGGTATTGAATAAGTTCATTATCTGCTATAAGGAAAAGCGTAATTTGCAATTCCTATTTTCGTTAGTATTTACTTTGAACCAATCGTTAAAGTAAATGTGAACTATACTACTGTCGGCCCTCCCGAAACTGATCCTGTCAAAACCGATAACCTGCTATAAATGATTAAAATTTGATCCACCATGTCGGTTCCATAAGTAATATCCGATAACCTGTCATTTTTGATATCCGATAGC